TTGCCTACATTTCCCCAAATGTAGGGTCTGACAATCAGGGTTCTCAGTTTCATGGCTAGAGATTGACAGGAGAGATTCTGAGCTTTGGTGAGTCCTCATGCTTCGAGGACGGATTTTCGTTGTTTCTAGTTTTCTTCTTTACTTTCAGTTTTGAACATGATGTATAGGCCATGCCCAATTTCATTCTATTGTACTAGATGGTTATTGAGACAAAGTGTTTAGACTTCCGTTTTAGTTTTATAAAACTTTGGACTTGAAATGTTGTATTTCTTTACCTCATTGTTCTATTTCTTATGTTATGAATGCTAAGTGGCTTGTATGGGGCCTCTCGGGGTCCTATATGTCATGTTACTCTAGGATGTACCCGCTAGGTCGTGACAGTTGTGGTTGCCTGTTCATATTTCATATGCTGGAACTAGTAAAAAATTCTACCAGTACACTATGGATTTTGTGTACTAATAATGCACTTGCTCTTTATTTATTGAGTACATGACATATTTTGGCTAATTCATCGTGACCTCAGATCCTCTAAATCCAAGGGTGAACTACTTCTTTTGGGCTACAATGGATTCAACTTGATTTTCCACGTCCATTTTCTGGACTGCTCTATTTAGTTCTTTGTTTTAGGACTGCATCCCCAGATTCTAGACTAGTAGATGTTTCGGTACATGATTTTTCATTTTTAGGGGGTTAATTTCATGAATGTTTGATGATAATGACTTGTGTTTTATGGAACTTGGTTTTGAAATTATGAAAATTATATTTGAATTGGAAACTGGTAATTTTTTTATTGTTTAATAGATTGTGTGATAGTAGTTAGTTGGTTCTGCCACTTAGGGGGTAGTATGAGTGCCACTCACGATGGGTCAGAATTGTGACAAGGTTGGGTCGTGATGGGGAGTCATCCAAATAATGAGTTGAAAACTCTTTTGGAAAGAAACTGCATGGTAATGAAAAATCTCATCATTAATACATGAAACACACAAAAAGGATTTTGAGAACAACAAAACAAAGGATGGAAGTTCTCATAAAAAAAAAGAACAACTCAGAGAAAGGGAGATACATAAGATATAATATCACCATAAGTAAAAACAAATAAGCTTGAAAAAATGAGAAAGGGAGAAAATAAAGCGAAAAAATGGCCTAAAATACCCTCGAAGTATTGGAAATGGTACAAAACTATCCTCCATCCATCTATTGGCTCAAAAATACCCTTGCCATCCACCTTTGGGTCCAAAATTGACCAATTAATTAACGGTTTTGAATTTAACTTATCTAAGTATTTTTTTTAAATACATGGCGCTTAACTATTGGTCAGAATTGTGACAAGGTTGGGTCGTGATGGGGAGGTATCCAAACAATAAGTTGAAAACTCTTAGAAAGCAACTACATGGTAACAAAAATCTCATCATTAATACATGAAACACACAAAAAGGATTTTGAGAACAACAAGACAAAGGATGGAAGTTCTCATAAAAAAAAAAGAACAACTCAGAGCAAGGGAGATAAGATAAAATATCACCATAAGTAAAAACAAATAAGCTTGAAAAAATGAGAAAGGGAGAAAATAAAGCGGAAAAGGGCCTAAAATACCCTCGAAGTATTGGAAATGGTACAAAACTACCCTCCATCCATCTATTGGCTCAAAAATACCCTTGTCATCCACCTTTGGGTTCAAAATTGACCAATTATTTAATGGTTTTAAATTTAACTTATCTAAATATTTTTTTTAAATACATGGCGCTTAACTATTGGTTATAATTTAATTAATTAATATAATTTATAAACCCACCCATTACCAATTAAACCCACCCAAACCCGACCCAAATCCACATATTAAACAAAACCCTGGACCCTTCCTTTCCAACTTGTCTTCTTCTCGGTCAATTTCTCCTAGATTTATAACTTATTAATATGTGCTTCGTCATATCTTTTGTTTCTGTCATGGTCTTCATCATGCTCTCTTAGTACCAATACATGTGCTCTGGAGAAAATTTAAGTCCCCTGGGTAACATAAATCTAATATCTTGTGTGCTACTCTGTTTACATAATTTTGTATCAAACACGGCAATCAGCAAAAATGGTAAGCCCACAAACACAACAATCTCCAAACACATGACATTTTATAGAAGTTGGAAGACAACGTTGGAAAGGAAGGGTTCATGGTTTTGTTTATAGGTGGATTTGAGGCGGGTTTAATCAGTAGTGGGTAGGCAATGGATGGGTTTATAAATTATTTTATAACCAATAGTTGAGCATCACGTATTTAAAAAATATTTAAATAGTTTAAATTTAAAATCATTAAATAATTAAGTGGTCAATTTTGGACCCAAAGGTGGATGTCAAGGATATTTTGGAGCCAATAGGGTATTTAGGCCATTTTACTATAACTGAGTCCATTATAGTATGAAAATCCTCAGAAGCATACAACAATGTATTAGAAGATAACAAGGATGAAGAAGAGAACGATCATAAAAAGAATTTGAGAAAAATGATGAGATCATTAAAATTGATACACCGTCTAAAACATCATAAGAAGAAAACAATGAGGGAGTCATAGAAACCGAGGAGAAACACATTAGAGTAGAAATTAATCCACTACATATTATGACTATATTGAAGTGGAGGTGGTGGAGAAGAGTAAAGTCTCACTACGACTATAAATACGATGCTTCTTAAAAAATAACCCAAACATTTTAATTCAACTTTAATTTGTAGCTTTATCTCTTTCTATCTTTGATTTAGAATTATTTTAGTTCATAGTTTATCCAAATTCATAAGAAATTTATATATAAAATAGAAATTTATTCGAATTGAATTTTTAGATTATTTATTCTGCGAAAGATTTATGCTAAATGTAATAATAAACCTAAAATAGAAAATGTGATGTGACAACTTTTTTTGTCCAATATTGAAATTTATATATTTTTATCATATTTTCGACATTTGTTCTTATATTTTTATTAAAATAATTGCTCAAAAATAATGTTATTCTTCCAAAAAAAAATATGCCTCTAATTTTATTTAGTCTTTGGAGTTTTTTTTTTCTTTCTAATTTCAATATATATATATATATTATCTTGTTAGACATAATTTTCTTTTAGGAGAAAAGAAGTACCTGGAGAAGTTGTTGAAGATTACTGGTGTATTAAGTTAAATTTATACAATATAAGCTTTGAGGTATGGCAACAAACAATGAACTCCTCCGCTTATGAGTCGTTTGATTTGAATTCAAGTTATGGTGAGATCGATGAAGATAAGATAAGTTATATTAGGATTAGTTATAGTGCGATAAGTTATGTTGAGATTATTTCTTATTGAGTGTTTGATTTGTTGTATTCGAAATAATATGAATTATAAATTTTAAGAGCAAGTTATTTGTTTACAAAATTACCATTCATGAAGGTGAAAAGTTATGCATAAAAAGGGTTTTATAAGTTATTTTGGATTTATTATACAACAAAGGGGGGATGGATAACTTATTACGGTACTAATTATTAATCCCAGAATAAGTTATTTCGGTCTCGCCAACCAAACAACAAATTGAGCAGCATTATAATTTAATCCCAAAACTTTAACTAAAAGGAACAACATGAGACACTTATCAGTTATTCGTATTGTCATTACTCTAACACCAAATTACCCCAAAAAGGTTGAGAGAACGCCCGTAAAGAAAAAAGCGAGTTACGACGCACAACTTCAGTAGGGCTTGCATTGCATGATATTTTTTTGTAAAAAAATTAATTGATGTGGAAAAAAGCAAAATTAGGGATGAGATGACAAATTTAGAAATTAATTTAATAAAAGAAATGAAAATTTAGATAGTGAATGCCTACTCAAATAAAAATGGCCAAATCCATCGGTGGCCACCTAAAATTGGCCCCAATTTTCATTTAGACACTTTAACTAGATTTTGTTCATTTTAGACACCTCATGTCATGTCCTATTGTGTCATTTTGACACATTTTGCTGAGTTGGCATATTGCGTGCGTTACACTGTTTTTGAGCGCGTGAAAAGTTTAAATATTGTACATTTTTACTTTTTGTTTGTTTCTTCTTCCTTCTCTCTCCTACCGACACCTCCTCCATCATCCACCACCGTATCCAACCTTCTCCCCCTAACTTTCTCACCATTCGATTGTCATAAACCTTGCTGAAATTATTCAAAAACTTCATCGAAGAAGAAAAAGACTGGATTAGGCCGTGAATCTGGAGGTTTTGATGGTGGTGCATATCTTTTTATTTCTCACACCTAGTCATAATAATCTTCTAAGATCCCTTTCCTTTTCTATCCTTCAATATGCAAAAAATCCTCTGTACTGCAATTTTACCTCTAGGAAAGCAAAAATTATCTGGTCAAACTTTAAGCCTGATAATTTTGACTATTTCGTCAAAAAGAAAAAGATGAAATCTCGTTGAAAGTAATTACTCAATGGAGAACAATTACAATAATCAATTAGGGGAGAATTTAGGTCAAAAAGGTCACTTCTTTTATGGGGGAAGTTAAGTTCTTAGTGCATCCCCAAATTCATTTATTTGTGAAAGAGATAGAAGCAGAGGTGGAGATTGTTATGACCTGATGATAGTGAAAATAGATGGAGGAAGTACTTTTCATTCCGTTAATGTTCCATAATTTTATCAAATTTGAAAAGGATGTTCATGGTGGTCAGAGGAGGAGAGATGGAGATGGTGAGAAAGAAAGTGGCTTTTTAAGTAAATAACTAATTAGTTTTAAAAATATGTTTTATTTGTAATACATTTATTGTTAATTATTTTTGGTTATATATGCCATATGTCTTCGGTTAATTCGTTGCTTTGACACATCATCGACGAGTGTGTTACACTCTCCTTAGCGTTTTTGCTGATTGTAAAAAGAGTGTCAAAATGACACAGTGATCATCTACACAAGGTGTTTAAAATGAACAAAGGCTGATTAAGGTGTCTAAATAAAAGTTTGTGACAACTTTAGGTGGCTATCGATGAGTTCCACCAATAAAAAAAGGGGAAAGTTCACATGGTCAACGTTTACTCAGCAATCCTACTGGCAGGAAAATTTCAATTTTTAAAGCCAACATCTCCCTCCCTAACACACACCTCTTTTGCACCACTGTTCCGGCCATTCCCCTCTGTCTCACCATTTCGCAAACGATTTCCAGGTATTGATTGGTCTACTCTTTCTCTTAGCCATGACCCTTCTCCCTTATCGTTATTGTATTGGGACATGTTTGGAACTTAGAGTGTGTTTGGTACCAAGGTTTTTCAATTTTTTCAGGTTCGATTGGTCAAAATGTTTCTTTAATTCCTTAAAAATGAGTTCTTTAATCGAAGTAGGGAAAACAAGTTATATAAGCTTGATTGCAAGTTCATTTATGTCTTTCCTAACCCAACCCTTGACCACCCCCAAACCACCACTCTCCACCCCATCTCCACATAGTATTTTACTAGATTACATATAAATGCTCTTGAAATAATATTGTTTTGCTTTACTTACTTAACACTTGAAAATAAGTAAGAAAACCACCCATTTTTCAACAAAATATTTTCTAGGAAAATATTTTTCGTTCGTACCAAACACCCTAGCGGATGTGTTGTTGTTATTAGGTTTCTGAAAGAATGAACAATAGCTCTTAAAAAAATTGGGAGGGTACATGACAATTTTCAGAGGCTACATTTGCAATGTTATGCACCTAAGGTATTTGATGAATTGCCTCTTAATTTGCTAAATGTTGTACGTCTGAAACTAAATGGGGGTTGAGTTACCATGACTTATGAGTTCTTGGATGCTTGCCCCTAACTGACAGTTTGAGGGAGACCTTATAATCTTAATGAAATTATTTTATACTACTTGTTCTACTATTTTCGTGCATTGGTGACAAAGCACAATTTTGAATGTGGGGGTGGAGAATTTGATTCCCTTTGTTTTCTATAAGGTTGCTCGAGCTTATTTTTGCAATTTTGCATTTTCTTTGTGCTTTTACATTTTGTATATCATAGCTGATTTTTTTTTTCCTTTTAGTAAGTATTATATAGCAGTTAGGTTTCTTGAGTTTCTTCAAGTCATGGTTCTTTCCCCAAGCATGCCTTTTATTTTCAAACATGTATTTTTAAGAATTAATTAGTAAAACAACACCATACCCTGTATAATCCCACAAAGTGTGGTCTGGGGCGCAGACCTTACCTCTACCTCAAAGATAGTTAGGAATTAATTAGTAGTGAGTAAATAAAAGAGAAGTTTTGGTGTCAAATTATGCTCCCTGCTCATGACTTGTTTGATACCCGCAAACTTTTTTTTAATCAAGAAACTACAGAAATAATGAACCAGATTTGAATTTGGCCTAACATATATATCGTGAGCAGGGGCTGGCTCTTGCATATAAGTTGAATGAACTCCCCATGGATTTTTGTGTTAAATTGAGAAAAATGATCTTGTTAGTGACGCTTAGGCTCACCGCTCAAGTTTTGAATCCTTGCTCACTGATCTTTTGTATCAAGTGATATTTTCTCAGTTGTTCTTGTTAGGATTAGGAATTAATCCATCCTGAATAATTCATGTGCCAACTGTTGATACAAAAGTAAAGCACGATTTTAATCTCTAGAATTTGAACAAAACTTGAAAACTCAGCAATTGAACAACCAATGCTTCTGGCCTCGACCGAGTAATCTCAAAATTAGACAGTAACCTGTCAGTTAAATTTTGTTAAGAACCGAAAATGTAGCTGCATATTTGAGTACTAGGGTTCTCCATCAAAATTGAGACAGCTTTCCGGAATGCAGGTTTTTCTGGAGATGGGTATTCACTCCCTGGTTACTTACTTTGTCCTCTTAGCTTTCACTCCTGGCCTTTTCTCTTACTCCATTGCATTTCCCTTGTTATTTCATGTGCTTTACCTCTTATCATTTTCTTAACGTTGCTTTATAGGTTCAAGAAAAAACTTGTGGGTGAAGCCTGGTTTGTCTCATTTGCTTGCTCTTCTTAATATTCTATAAGCGAATAAAACGCTGTTTATGGCTGTACTGGAGAAGATATCCGAGGTTATGCAAAAAAATGAGTTGGTGAAGAAGGGTATAAGAAAATCAATGTTGATGTTAATGCAGGAATGGAAGAGTTTTGAAGAGGATTCTGACTTGACCACAAAATGTTTCCAACAATGCTTCAATGAACTGGAGGTCAGGGAGAAGCACTTGAGTTCAGTACAAGAATCAGTGGTTGATAGTTCTCAGAAACTTAACTTGATCAGGGAATCTGTGGAGCAGAAACGGAAAGAAGTTGAGGGAAAAATGGAAGAATTTTGTGCATTTCGAGACAGAGAAATCAGGGATTTGGAACGCAAATGGAAAGACTTCATTTTGGCCAAACAGGAGTTTGATGAAACTGTGAAATTGAGAGAGAAGAAGCTGAATGAGCAAGAGAAGATGGGGGAACGCCTTTTGGGCAAAATAAAATTTGAGCATAAGCAGCTGGAGAATAAACTTGAACTCCAGGAGCTGAAGTCTAATTTACTCAAGGAAAGACTCCAATTAAGGGAGGGAAATAGGCAACTGTCAGAAGAACTTGATTCTATGAAGAAGAAACTGGATTTGGTCAATGGTGAGCTTCAACAAGAAAAGGAAAAAACCCAAACAGAACAAGGATTATTCAAGAAAAGAATGAAAGAAATAGCACTTAATGAAATACAGGTTGAGGTAATGGAAGATCGGTTTAAATTTAAAGTGCTTGAGGAAACAAAGAAGCAACTGAAAACTATTGGTAATGCCCCTGAGAAGACTGAGGCTATTGACAATGTAGAAGTGGATAGAGTTTATACTACCTCTACTGATTCTGCTGATATAAAACTTGTTCTGACAATGGATGGGAAGGCTTTACAGATATTCTTAAATGAGCACGAGAAGAAGCCAGATTCAATGTCTGATGATGTTTTTAGGTCCCTTCATTTGTCTCGCAACCCTGCAATGTTGGTGCTTGATGCAATGGAAGGGTTCTATCCTCCCCACTTGACGATGATGAAGGGAGATACAGAGTTTGAGGGCACTGTTGTCAGGAAGACCTGCATTCTTGTGTTAGAGCAGTTAATTAGATTCTCACCGAAGATTCAACCTACTGTCCGTAAGAGAGCAATGAAACTAGCAAGTGAGTGGAAGTTTAAAATGACTGGGGATCAATTGGAGATCTTGGGTTTCTTGTATCTGTTGGCTTCTTATAATCTGGCATCTGATTTTGATGCGGATGAGCTTCTGAACCTGCTGGCTGTCGTAGCTGAGCATAACAAGTCATCAGAGTTGTGTGATCTTCTTGGTTTGACCAAGAAGATCCCTTGTAAGTATAGATTATATTCATATGTTATTCTTTTTGTAGCATTCCCTCTGCATATTCTCTTGCCAAACCTAGGCTTACCCCTAGGTAAGAAAATTTCTGTATTGCCGATTATGCATCTTTGTTCACATAAATACAGGAAATATGGTGAAAGGATAAGGTCTTGTACTTAATCAGATGGATATTGATGATCAATTAGATTTTGTCTCGGCAATATCAAGCACATAGCTATTGATGCAACCGGTAGTTGCATTACTAGCATCCATCAGTTTCAATTATTTTTTGTTTGTTTGTATTACTAGCATCTAAGGCTGACTTGATTTGCAGCTTAAACTCTTGAGTGAAAAGTATGTCTTTTCAAAACTAACTGAAAAAAATAAGTCCTTCATTATAAGTATCTGATGGCTGGTAAATAAATGCATGAGAAGAGATGAGACTGGTTGATTATTTATTTGTCCTCATAACAAAAATATAATTTAAAAAGTAACAGGTTAATTTGTAATAGAAGATTGACTGATGAATTCATGTAAAAAAGATAGAACTGTAAAATAGATTCATAAAATGAAAGAAAAGTAAACATAGACAAGTATACAAGGCTCTTTTGTCTTTGTAGGTTCTTTTTGGTGGACTCCGAGTTAAATATTTTGCAGCTAAATTCACCAAAAGAAAAAGAAACAAGAATACTTTGCAACAACACTGATTGAACTGTAATGCAAGATAATGAACAGAATTGAAGTGCTTAATTCTAATTGATTGTTAATCACAAATTGTATTCTATTTGATTCTTGATGTCGAGCCAGTAATAATGGTACATTGAAGGGTTTTGAGTTTTAGGTGGCATGTTATTCTGTTGAGGATTATGGATTGTGTGATAACTGGTTCGACAAACAGATTGAATAAACCAACTAATTAAATTTTAGACATGTTCAATAACATATAAGGAAAATCATGCATGAGTAAAATGGTCACATAAAATGTTTTAGAAATTTTAAGTGGAACGAACTTTTTTGTGTTTGAAGATTGATTACCAACAACGACAACACATACCTAGTGAAATCCCACACATGGGGTTTGGGAAGGGTAGAGTGTATCAAATCTTACCACTACCTCATGGAGGTAGATAAGCTGTTTCCGAAAGACCCTCGGCTCAAGTGCAGTAAATCCAAGTACAAAGAACAAGAAAACAGTGGAAAAAACATAGCAACTAACGAGGGAAGTAGAGCAAATCTTACAAGAAAGGAACAAGAACAACAAAATAGTGAGATAATCGAAACACGATAAGCAACAAATATTGATAGATATCAAAAGCAAGAACTACAATAATACAACTAGTGCAACGACAAACACCAACAAGCCTAAACCCTCGGAAAGCAAGACAACACTCCACTACCTACTAACCTTCTACCCTATTATACGGCCTCTACATACTCCTATCTAAGATCATATCCTTGGTAACCTGAAGTTGTGTCATTACTGTCTAATAACCTCTTCCCAATACTTCTTCGGCCTACCTCTACCTCTACCTCTCCTCGTACCTACTAGGATTACCAGAGATTCAAAAACTAAACATAAATAAATAAACAAAAGAAAAGAAAAGAAAATCTTCTAATCCCCACAGGAAGTGGTTAATATATAAGCTAAATTGTTTGCATAAATATTAAAAAGTAATTTTATAATCAAAAACATTTTTCCACCTAAAAAAACGTATTTTGTAAATCACCTTGCAGTAACCATCTTTGTGTCATCTTTTCTTCTTCTAAGTGTCTTATCTAATCAGCGCGGGAAGGATTGTTTGCTGGTTGGGAAAGCTTAATTATATGGATATTAGATATTCCATTTCTTCAGCTACTTCATTAGGATAAGGGATGAGACCCGCCATCGCCTGAGACATCTATATGAGCATAAAATATTAGAATTTAGCAACAATATTTTGTACAATACATAAACAATTTAAGTAAGTGTACATATAATATACCTTAGTTTAAATTTTAAACAGATTATCTGGCAATGGGATTAACATCTTTTCAATTTCATATAAACTTGAAAGAGGATTACTCAAGTTTAATTAAGTAGTATAATTAAGATAATACATGCTAAATAATTCCTACTTTATCAAAAAAAAAATGTATTTATTGTTTTCTGCACTGAAGGACTTTGGTGTCTTAAATTGTCAAGTGACAAAAGTTTCAGATATTAGATTTTATTTTTGCAGCCACCACTGGGGCTACTACAGTACAGTGTAGATCAAAGAATTTCTGGTTGGTTACGTTCTGAAGGGTCAAGATTAGGAATTGAACGGATGGGCCAAAGTTACTGGGTTGGAACAAGTAAATTCTCTCTCAGGTACCGTCTTCAAATAGGAATAGGATTGCAAATGGCCTTCGAAAATGGTGTGGGGAATTAAATCACTGTACAAGGTGTTCTTCTTTTGCTGTGTAATGGTTCGCGAAGCTTAGAAATATACAAAGAAGAGGAATGCAGATCTGTGGTAGATGCTACATGTGTTTAAAGGAAGCTGACGATCATCTTAGCCTTTTCCGTCATTGCCCTGTGGCAAGACTTCTATAGGATATATTATGCATTTTTCACATTAAATGTGTGATGTCAAAGAACATAAAGTGTTACTTGAATGGCTACAGTATCAGGAAATATCTAAGGCAGATATGGAGAACTATAAAAACTTGTAAATGTTTGATTATATGAAAAGTGAAGAAGCAGATTTTCTTTGGGGGAAGGAACACGTCTATGTTTATGTTGAAGTTCATGTCTTACTTTTCCCATTTAAAAAGTATGTTACTTAGTTGGCCTTCTGGTTTAATTTATAGATTGTATTATAAACAAAATATGAAGGACTTTGTTAGGTCATTAGAAAACTGTGATGATTGTAAAGGAATGATTTTGCATTGTCCATCGCTAATTAATTCTTGGCATTTGATTAATAAAAAAACTTTTGCTACTAGTCTGAAGAAAAAAGATAGTAGACCTTAATTTTCAGTTTGATCAAATAGTCTGATGTTACGTATCTGATTACAAGAGCATAGGGTAACCAAGGTATGCATTGCGTTCGTTTGTGAAACTTCACTATTTTGGTACAGCTTGCATTACTCTGTAACACCAAAAGGGAGGGTAGAATGCAGATATTCATGTAAATTTTGTGTGCAAACTGCCATAGTGGGAGTGTGGTGAGGTTTCTTTTACTATCAGCATTGATCTGGGGTCACTAAACCTTGTTCCAAAATGGCAAGGAACTAATAGAATATGTTGTGACTGGGAAAAAGAAATGGCTTGTCTTAATAGAAAAAAGAAAGGAATGGTTTGTCCAAGATTTGACTTTAAGTGGCCAATTCTTCTGGAGGTGTTGAATTCTCTTAACATCACATTTTTATCATCTTCAAACAATAGATGCCTTATTTGGAAAATATTGAGAAACTTGATCAAATACGTTTCCTTACATTTCTCGGCATTCTCAACTATTTTATGGCTGCATTGTGGATATTCGTAGAATGGTATGTTGTCAGGTGATAGATTAAATGTGAGTAGGTTTCTGTCATTCCATTTATTCAAAGTCAGAAAGGATTTTGACAATGAAATCTGTGAGAAATATAGGAGAAGAATATTATTGAATTGTTGTCGTTTTTACATTATTACATTGAGACCCTATTTATAGACACTAGAATACAATCCTTTACCAAGTAGGATACTATTTGCTATTCCTATTTCTATTTGTATTCCTATTCCTATTTTAAATAGGATTGTATAAACCTATTCCTATTCTAGTAGTATTGTATAAACCTATTCCTATTCTAATAGGATTGTATATACCTATTCATGTTCTAACACTCCTCCTCAAGCTAGTGCATATAATTCATGTACCTAGCTTGTTACAAATGTAAGTAATACGAGGACCGATGAGGGGCTTAGTGAGTTATGTGCAAGTTCATTAGTCGACTTCACAAAATTGACAGTCAATCTCAATGTGCTTGTCTTCTCATTAAATACTCTATTTGTTGCATAATGTCAGTCAATCTCAATGTGTTTAATCTTCTCATGAAATATTGAATTTCATGCATAATGTCGATAAAACATAGAGTGATAAAATTACAGTGTTGAACTTCCCAAACCAAACTTGTAAAGACTGTTTTAGACCATAGAGTGACTTACGTAATCAACATACAAGGCTATTAAACTCCCCCTGAGCAACAAAATTAGGTGGTTGCTCCATATAGACTTCTTCACAATGCAACGGTCGCCG